GCACAGGGGCTGTTCAAGGCTATAAACTGGTTCCTCCTCATGCATGTTTGTTACTCCAGAGGGAACAATCCAACACACATCAAAACACTGAGAATGCTGATATCCCCTCACATTTCCTCAAAGTCCATGGTTTTCAGTGGAATCTGTGCTGAACTTAAGTCTGGTACTGACTCTAAAACCCTGTTTGAAGGAGGTGCACAGAGGTACCTATTCCTTAATTCTTAGTAGATGTCCACTTGACACACCACTCTTTTTCACCTGGTCTTTGTTAATTTACTTTGCACTAGGAAACAAAGTTGATCAGGCAAGCCTCTAATTCAACTGAACCCCAAATTAGTACAGTCTACCTAACAATAGAAAGCTCAGATTATTTTATACCATCTGCATGTTTTCTTAGGCCATTCCTGTGTGTCCTGTTTTCCTATCACTATGTGTCTGGTCAGCTTCCTTCTCTCTCCTGGGGACTGGTTCCAGTTTTCTATTGTTTAAGATTTTCCCTTGCCTGTACATACATAGGAAAGAGCATTTTTAAACCTGGTTAAAAATAAATCTAACTAATTCCAACATATAGAATTGGCTTCTAATTGCTCGGGTTTATTGTTATACATTTTCCCAAGAAAGTTATCTATTGAATACAACTGTGAAAAGGATTTCAATATCCCTAAAGCAACTTTTCCAACCCTTTGCTTGGCCCCACCTTCTCCACCACAGGTTTTTCCACCATTGGTGTCTAGAGGAGGCAAGTGACATCATGTACAGCGTGACACTGTTGTGCAAAGAATGCAAATGAATTGCATGTCATTTGGGTCATGATGTGATTGACACAAATTACCTAATGTTACAATTCTCTCCATGCTTTCCATGCTGATGCTGCAACTTGTGGCAACAAATTTCAGGTTTGTATGTGTGCTTAAGGTTTCCACAACAGCATGGAGGAAATGATGTTGACTTTTACTCAAGTGAAAAGATGCTGAAGACCAAGATCATCATCCTACATATTAAGCAACTGCAGTAGAGATAAACTGCCATTTGGATGGCATTGAATAAAAGCTGAATTATCATATATTGAGGACAAATGGATCAGATTCAGAAACAGGAGTACCTCTGCAGACTATAAGCTCTGTGTCCTCCTACATCAAAAATTACTGAGTTGGAGAAATTATAAATGTCAACTAGTTCAGAGGTACATCATTTGATTTGGGCTGAGGCCTATATTTGGCCTTTGAGTGGCATGCCAGGAACTGTATTCCTGAAAGTTGCGGGGACAGGATAAAAATAGCACTAAATAACTATAATTAATATTACTCCCTGTATATTCAATAATTTCCACTTTTTTTGGTCTGTTAAAAATGAAACTCATTGGGAGCACCACTGTAGGGTTTCTTGTAGGGGACAGGGGAGTCTAAAAGTGAACCAGGGGCTCCAGGCAGTGGATCACTGATATAGACCAACTCCTTGCTCAAAAAAGAATGTGCAATAGAAGATGGCATTGTGATATCCCAACAGACAGCACCCTAGCCCTACATCAGTGTCCTCAGCAAAAGAGAGCCCATCATCTCACTGAGATTAGGACTCCTGGGAGTTGAGCTTAATTCCTGATGACGTCAGGACACGTCCATGTATTTTTCTTGGCAGCAGTACACAAGTGGCTGTTGCCTTTTTCCACGATTTTTTTCCCCAACTTCTCAGTCTAGCCTACAGCCCTGGGCTCTCCTGGTTGGTCTCCCATCACAGTATTTACCAGGTGTGATCTTGCTTAGCTTCTGATCTTAGGTGAGTTGTCACCTGCTGCGACTTAAAAATAATGTGTCTTTGAAGTTTAGCTCAACTCTGAGCAAATTCACCCGCATGCCTTGGCCTTCTTTGGCAACAGCACATGAATGGTTTGCCTTTCCCTTTTCTGGGATTTTCCCCCCTTCTACTTAGGTACTTCGTGCTCCAAATGTACTTTACAATGCACTCTATATAATAGAGCCAAAGAACTCTTCAGTAAATAGTTGAAGGTCAACTTGTGGTTAGACATTATTTATACACAGAGAGCAACTTATCTTTGGATAAATTGGTGCTGATTTTGTTTCCATCCTTGGCAACTCTCCTTCAGCCATTCCTTCAAGGGATTATCTCTTTGATAGTCCTAACTGATCTCAGCTCAGATTAATGGACTAAACACTGGATTTTAGAAAGGCAGGAACCAAAGATGTAAGACTGGAACGTGAGCCCCTAAAACATGCCCATCCACCATTTCTTCTTTGGCAACTTTCAACCCCATGGTGGAGTCACAGGATGCATTTCACAGGACACAGCCAGACTGAACTATATTGGAAGGTCTATTTCCAAAGAAGAAGTGGGGGAGATGCAAAAGCAACTGTGCAGTAGCCATGTCCTTCCAAACAAACAAAATCCTTATGAAATAGACTGACTTGTACGCTTGTTTAATTTGTGACCTGCCCTTCAGCACACATTTAACCTAAAACAACACTAATACAATATTCAGGAAAAGAACATCAACAAAATTAAACCACCTGTCAAAAATAAATGTCAACCCTCATTTTCTTTCTTAAAAAAGCAGGGTGAAAAGGGGCAACAACAGTACCGTCAGGAAGAGTCATTATAATATTAGCATCAGGGGAAAAAAGACCCCTGTACCTTAGCTTATATAAATCTAGAAACAGGTAAAACAACATCAGAGGAAGGAAGGAAGGAAGGAAGGAAGGAAGGAAGGAAGGAAGGAAGGAAGG